GGACGGATGATAGCAAGCATTCGAATCCAGCTTACCTGGCTCAGCTCCCGTAGGGTTGGTTACGCTCATGAACTTTTTCATGAGCACGGGCATTTGTTCATGGTACCAGTCCGAGAGCGTCAACACCAACTCCTCGTCGTACTCGTCTGCATAAGGGTTTTCCGGGTCGTGGACGATCAGAGGCCCTCTGAATCCATCTGGATACTGTCCCTTTGCATGCGAGTGGTACCAATATGTGCCTGGTTGAGTGACCTGATCCCCAACGTTAGTCCAGGACCGCGTATCTTGAGGCGGGAGGTTCTGCATACATTGAAATCGTAGACAAAACTGGAGCCAGGGGGGACCGCGCACTGCGTCACACCGGCGACGCCGTCCATGTGATTGGTGCCATTCTGGTAAAGCCCGTGGAAATGAATGGAGGTAGACTGATCCCCGAGATCGTTGGTCAGATTGACAATGACCCTGTCTCCCACGTTGGCCTCGATGCGAGGCAAAGGCCACTGGCCATTGATGCCAATGGTGCGCCTCTCGAACATGCCATCGGGATTTGTGTTCACCCAGCCAGCGGTGAAATTATACACGCGAGTCGCTGCAGAGGCGAACGACAGCAAGAAGGCTGCGCAGACAAAGAGGAGGTTTGACAGAGACAGAGCCATGATGCCTGGCTTGGAGATGTGCTCGTTGAGAGTAAGGAGAGAGATCGAGCATCAATTATCAGATAAGATGTTTTGAAAGGCGAGGGTCCGGACGCCATCTATCGGCAAAGCGGAAAAACTTTACAAACATGTCGAACGACCCCTGCCACCATCAATGCCGCTCCGATGCTGCTCCGAGGCGGCGGGGAGAGAAAAATTGAAGCATCAGGTGAACGATCTGATAAGATTATCACTCATAATACCAGATCGGCAAGAAAGAAACGCTGGTCAAATTTTCTGTGGTCTGATGGATTCCGACCAAATGGCGGGCTCATTGGGCCTCGACGGTGGAGAGCGATGCAAGTCGTAAGGCGAACAGCCGAGACGAAAACAATCCCACCTGTAAAGAAAGAGCTTGGACGCTGGTCGTTACCTTGGCAGAAGTGGTCCAGAGCATACCAAGTCAGAACAAGCTGATGCTTGTTCGTCGCCAAGCTGGTCGGCCAAAGCGTGCGTTCTAGCCCATTGAGGGATTAAGGCCTGGGATCACCCGCGCATCTCGATGGGAAAAGAAATCCGACCTCGCAAAGGTATTGGAGAGAGACGGCATTCCGTCAAAGGGAGAGACTGCTTCGTCGGTTTGTCGAACAATGCGAGTAAAGAATATGGAGGATTGAGGTGGTGTCAGGAAATGGTTGATCAGATAAATTTTGAATGTTAGGCTCAATAGCTTGTGATCTAATCTGGTGGATCCCGGTCCAATGGTCTTGCGAGCTGTGCTCGGATCAGTTTTCTTTATCTGATACATACTCCCAGTGAGTAATAATGAGCTTCTTGGTATTCCGACTGTGCAGCCTACCGTCTTTTGTTGGGCGCTTGTAGCTGAAGTCGAAACGAGCCTGCAAAGAGTCGATCGCGGAAAGCTTCAAGATGGACATGTGGGCGATCGGAATCGGAGAGGAAGACGTCGAATCGATGAGAAATCGGGACGTTCGAAGGTGGAACCACAGAGGTGATCGTGCAGAAAAAATTTCTCTGCTTGCGTGAATTTCAAATTTTTGTTCTTGCTAAAGCGGGATATCAGCCGATGCAAGCAGTCGACCGACTCATTCTCGTGAGAAGGTAGGTAGGGACGAAAGGCGGGCGGCAACGAGCTGCGATTGTTAGCTTGCTGGCAGGTCAACGGGCGAGAAGCTGGGCGGGGCGTCTTCAATGGCTTGAATAATGGCTTGGTCAACTTGTCTCGTTAGAAGCTCGAACAGGTGGAATGGGAACCTCTTGGCGCACGAGAGGATCGTCGAGAAGAGCGGAAGATGGAGCAAACCAGTGTGAGAGCGACATCGGAAGAGTGGAAGAGTGGACTGACGCGAGCATGGCGAGGTGGAAGACTTTTTGGGCGCAGTCTGGGCATCCTTGGCATAGGCTTGGCTTAGACTTGGCATCGAATGATGTTTTCCGTGGAGCGTTCGGGACGCAGTCTGCACCCACCCCTTGCCTTGCAAGTCACTCATGACCTGATCCCACCATGTCCCCGGTCCAGGAAGATAATCTTATCAGATGCTGTCCTCCCAGATATCGTCCGCCCAATCTTCTCCTCTATCCTCTGCCTACCTGTTGTTTTCCCGGAGACCGCAAGAGTCCATAGGTGCCAGCAAGTAGTACTGTCTGTCAGGACGGGAGAAGGGATTCTTACCTGAGTTGAGAGCACCGAAAAAAGCCAACCGCAACCATGCCTGACGTCTTCGCCGTTCCGGTGTTTTTCATCGTCTTCAGAGAGACGTTGGAGACCACCATCGTCGTCTCGGTTCTGCTGTCCTTCCTCAAGCAGCAGCTGGGCCCCGACCAAGACAGGACTGTCTATAAGAAGTTGCGGAACCAGGTACGTTTGTGACCCTACCTCCTTCGGTGATGTGTTCCTTACCTTTCGTGCTTTGTAGGTCTGGTACGGGACCCTCATAGGGTTCGTGATATGTCTGATCATCGGTTGTGGTATGATCGGCGCCTTCTATGGCATTGGGAGTGACGCTTGGGGGAACGCCGAGGCCCTCTGGGAGGGTATTTTTGCGCTCCTTGCCTCCATCATCATCGCTATCATGGGTGCTGCTCTTCTGCGCGTGTCCAAGATGCAGGCCAAATGGAGAGTCAAGCTTGCAAAGGCTCTTGAAGCCAAGGACAACAAGCACGGCAAGCTCGGCACTCGCATCAAGGATTGGGCGCAGAAGTATGCCATGTTCCTCCTCCCGTTCATCACCATTCTGCGTGAGGGGATTGAGGCCATTGTCTTCATCGGAGGTGTGAGTCTCGGCGTGTCGGCCAGCTCGATCCCGTTACCCACCGTCTGTGGTCTCGCGGCGGGCTGCTTGGTTGGCTTCATCATCTACAAGGGCGGCAACATGGCTCCCCTGCAGTTCTTCCTCATTGCCAGCACCTGCTTCCTGTATCTTGTCGCGGCCGGCCTCTTTTCTCGCGCCGTCTGGTACTTCGAGCAACACGAATTCAACAAGGCTAGCGGTGGTGACGCTGCCGAGAACGGTTCTGGCCCCGGGTCATATGATATCCGGTCCAGTGTCTGGCACGTCAACTGCTGCAACCCGGTGCTGAATGGCGGCGGTGGCTGGGGTATCTTCAACGCCCTCTTGGGCTGGCAAAACAGCGCCACCTACGGCAGCGTCATTAGTTACAACGTCTTCTGGATCGTCGTCATTCTGGGCTTCATCTTGCTGAGGTTCAAGGAGATCAGGGGACACTGGCCCTTTGTGAAGTCCAAGGCTCCAAACGTCGCAGTCACTGAAGAGAGATACAGTGACGGCGAGTCGAGCGGCTTTGGTGCGTCCGACAAGAAGGTCGTGGTAGGCGCCAAGCCCGCCGCAGTCGATAGCCACGCTTGAGATGGGTTTCTCATGAAACCAAGGGGTCCAGCGCCCACTCAAGAATTTGATGCAAGGGAGAAGATGGTTGCGCCGCTTGAACGACCATGCGCGATATCGTTCATCCAGCCTTTATCCCGCGGGAGGCCCGTCTGCATTAGATCCTTGTCTAGTTGAGTCAGAGTAAAGAGAGTCCGCAGTATTTGGGAGATAGCTCGGGGAGGAGGGAGAGAAATGGGAGAGAAAGAAAGGGTGGAAAGAAAGAAGAAGAAAAACAAACATCAGCGACTAATATAACAATATATATGTGTATTTATGAGGAATGCATGTGTAGGTGAGCAAGTAGATGAGCAAGTAAGCAAGTATACGAGTACCCGAGTACCAGGGTTGAGCAAGTTCCCAAGTTGGGACGGCGGAGAGGGAGTGACTGGGTTTTATGCTCCGAATACGCACCGATGCGTTATCGATGCTGCGAAATCGCTAAACCCTAATTGGCTGACAACGTGTCCCTTTTTGGACCTTTCCACAACGTTCTTCGATTCATAGGCCCGATACACATGGACCACATTACGCGCTTCACAAACTGCACAAAACTCCGATTTCCGGGGTCAAAGCCAATGCCTGGCGCTAGAATAATTTATGGGGACAACATATCTTACTGCGCACTGCGGCTCACATGTGATAGCAGAAACAAGTGGGACCTAGAATACTTGTACAAGTTCATCGACTGAGCAGCCACGGAGCATATCTGTGAAATCCAGCAGATCAACCAGCTCAAAAACACATTCCCTGTTGCCCAGTACAACACATCGCTTGCCCCCGTCTCCTCGGTCAAGAATCAGCTGAAAGCCAAAGCACGCCTGCTGTCTTCCTTCCAACGCAGTGCCACAACAACAACAACACGGCACCAAAATGAAAACATGACTTCTCCCCTCTCCCACACAGCGCTGCTCCAAGCACGAGCTCATATCTCATTCTCTCCGCCTCTGGTAACTTACAGTGAACTGCAAACCCACCCACCCAGCCATTGCAGTCACGGCAAGTTTCGATGGTGTCATTGTACATGTTCCTCCCCATCGACCTTTGGATTTCAAGTTGTCAGGACACCTTGCATAACAGGTCAGGGTTGAACGTCGAATCGGTCTTGATGAAAATTCCAAGCTGAAAGGCTGAACGGTGAATTTCAAAAACAAAACTAAGGTTAGTGGCACAGGGGAATAAAGGGAAAATTTTACTGCCGAACAGTAACTTTTGAGTGTTGGCGAACGCTCAAGTAAGACGTCGTAGTGACCACTGGGGAAATGGAAGGGATCCTACGTTGGAGCCTAGAAGGTTAGATTCTGCTGTGATTAGTAAAGGTGGACGTGATTTGGCCAGCGTCCCAAGATTGTCCCAAGATTTCGTTGAGCGCGTATCCGGCATTGTCGGCGCATTTGCTGTGACCGCCAGTCTTCGTCGAGTAGGGTCGGGGAACAACGGAAGTTGTCGACGTGAAGGATCATGAAGGTCTTCGACGCTTTGGATCTGGCGTATCAAGATCGAGAAAAAGCTCATCATCTTCTTCTGCCTTTCGCTTCGCTTGCTTGCCTTTGACCGGAGTCATGGGAGGACTGAGATTGCCCAGATCGACGTTTTCGGCGGCTGAAGCTTGGTGCGAGGAGTCTTCGTCCACGATTTCAGTATTTTTGGGAAGCAGAGACGCGTCCGTGTCATCTGTAGCTGGCAACGTCGCAACTTGGTCTTGATTCTGCTTGATCGCGGTGATGTCTTCCGGCACACCATCGCCAAATTCATCTTGAGCGACGAGGAACTCTTGATCGCCGTAAGATTTGTAGCTGGATTCTGGCTCAGCTCCATCCTCTTCATGTCGGAAAAGATCTTCTGCTTCCTCAGCTGGTTGCCCAGAATCTTCTGCCTCGCGAGTTGCGTCTTCGATATTCTCGAAGTCCGTCTCAGCGACATCGCCTTCCACGGTATGTGAGCTATTGGTTTCATGCTCTTCATCATCACCTGGTTGATCTTGAGTATCAGGGCGCAGCTCCCGCTCAGTTCCACTGGCCTCAGGCTCTCGTGTTTCATCATACACGTCCTCTGGCTCACCATCTTCTTGGTCGGCATCAGCAAGCAAAGCGGCCTGTTCAGTTGCTTCGGGCTCTGCTGTGGCTGCAAAGGCCTCGGGATGATCCGCATCGCTAGCTGTGGGTACACTATCCCGGGTGGCATGGTCAGAAAAGATCTCATCCTCTGCGGGTTCTTTCTGATCAAGGGTGTCTGTGTCATCGGCAGCAGTCAATGCTTGAATGTCTGTGCGTTCTGTCACTGCTTCTATTTCCTCTTTGGTAGGTGAGTGATCGCCTTCATCTTGACCATCTTCAATGGATTCTTCTGCACCATCACCATCCACCTCCGGAGATTCCGAATGATCAGCAGCAATTTCAGCATACGTCTTTCCTTCGGCTCCTGCAGAGCAGAGGTAGGCGTATTGCGACGCAAGGCTCACACGGCTGCTCAAGTGACAATATAGAGGTTGGATCACCTCACCTCCGTTATTGTTACACAGGTGCAAGTAGACATCGAGGATTTGAGAAAGCGTAATTTGAGTAGCGTATTTGGAGTCCTCACAGATGTGCAGACCTAAGCCAGGCACGTCAAGCACAAGCTCATCATGATGGTCCAACGTGCCAGTCAAAATCTCACGGCATGCTGCGAGCAATTTGTCCAGAGGCTCAAAGGCTAATGAGGCATCAGGAAGGAAATACACACTCGAGGCGTCGCCGAGCATAGGAGGGAAAAGCGACATTTCCTCTTCTAGATAGACAAGGGTGACAGGGTGAACACTCAGAGCTGCACTGCCAGCTTCGTTCTTAGCTGTCTCCTCGTACTGATCATGTGGCGCCGGTTCACTTGTTTCGGTTCTTGTCTGGACGTCAGTCTCTGGACCACTGACTGTCTCGTGGGGGAGAGTATCAGTCTCGGTCTCGGGCTCAGCCTCAGCCTCAGCTTCAGCCTCTGGACGTTGTTCGAGGAGTTCGTCACCATCATCGTGTTGCTCAGCTTGCGTCTGTTCGGTAGCTTGGTTTTCCCCGTCCTGGCCAGCCACGTATTCCGTGGATGTATTCGGTATCTCGATGTGTGGAGCATGGATCTCTCCTTGTTCCTGGGCCGCGTCCTGTGCTGGTAGAGAGGCCCTTGCGACGTCGGTAAGACCCTTATCTTGATTAGTATCTATATCGGCATGATTTTCTTGTTCGAATCGCTCCCCAGTCTCTTCGGAGATAACATCTGCTTCCACCTCTTGAAAGGGCTGCGGTTGGGCTTCAGGTTCGTTGTACTCATCAACTACTTCAACATCTTGTACAGCCGCAGTGATGTCTTCCTCGTCTTCGTATAAGATATCCTCATCTTCATCACCTTGAACTTCCTCGATAGAACCATCCATATTGTAGTCCAGGTCGGGTTGTTCTGTTAGCATAGATGTGTTTTGTTCATCTTTCATATCATCATCTGGCAACGTCTCATCAAACTGGTCTTCCATTACATCGAGTTCGGTGTCGAGAGGTGCCACAGGGTCATCGACCATGTCGTCGTGGGGGGAGCCAATCACGGAAGGTTCACGGACAGAATCGAGGTCGATGTCGATATCGTCAGGCTGTCGAAAAGGGGACGATGCTACATCCATTTTGTCATCGAGCTGCGACACATCCATGTCAGGAAAGGCAAACGAGGGGATCGCTGCCATCGCGAAGGATCGCGGGAGAAACACGGATCCTTGAGGCGGAGCAAGTATTCCCGTAGTTTTCACGCGTTACTCTGCCAAAACCCTTTTTTTCCGTCGTTGGGATAAGAGGCGTGGCGTTTGGTTGTGTTGGCAGACTGATCTTGGGTGACGGATCGAAGGGAGTGGTGTGGTAAGGTTCATCTAGATCCAGTTTCTCCGAGAAAATGGTGATGGTAGAGTATTTCCACGTAGTGAAGCGTGTGCTCTCCGAAAGAATGATTTCAAGATTTTCTGAAGGTCACGCAGTGCTCGTGGAAGAATCGGTGACTAGAAACAAGACGCGAAGGCAGCAGAAACCCAAGTTGAAGTCACTGTCCGCCAAGGATTTCCGTAAACGTACTAGCCCTATTTGAAAGCTATTTGCGCTGTTTGCACTGTTTGCACTTCAACAAAACTCCCTTTCCCTCCCCTGACGCAGTCTTTGACTCAAATCAGAGGAGACTTCAATCGCTTTTGGCGAGGAGATGAGCTGAAGCGAACTAGCTCTGCCAGCAATACAAATGGAACTGGAATGTTAAGAATGCCGATATTACCCTCGGGGCTTCAGCTATGTAAGTGAGTGAAGTGCGATATGTCCGACCTATGGCCTCCCATTCTCTCCAGCAAGGTATTCTTAATATAGGATAGGTACAGGAGGTGGCTGTCCCAGGGGTGTGGAAGCTTTGACAGCTAGTGATGCGGAACGGTATTTCCGACAAGAGAAAAGTTGAAGCATAGGGTGCCTTGCCGTGTATGAAGGTCCTCAGGCACACCAAGAATCGTCCAAACCATTCAAGAACTCGACATCGATATTGACGAAGCTTTTGCAGAAATCGAACTCCATCCACCAAGATCGCGTCTGCATAATGAATGTGGCTGCAGATGCGAGTTTCAAGAGCTCGTCTTCATTTTCTCCTAGCACAAGAACAACATCCTTGCGGATCGGGATCTTCTTTCCGTGGTCGAACTTGCCCATAAAGGGTTTGAATCTGTTGGTCATTTGCAAGTGAACACTGTGTTTCGAGTAAGGCATGTCAGTAGGCATGAACTTCCACTCCCAAGCACGACCGATAAGGTCAAAAAAAGCGTGATTTAGGCAGTCATCCCAGTGAAGCATGATTGGGTAAAAATAAGGTGTCGACCACAGACGAAGCAATGCCAAATGGGCGGAGGGCTGTGGAGCTGTAAATTGTTGAGCATGCTCGCGCAATGAGTCGAAACTAATACTATAGGGGCTGATGCTGTTCTCTGGCAATAAGATCGCAGGAATGATGGACTGGTAGTCAATGAAAAGGTCCAGAGGCCGGCCAGGAATGCGGCCTCTCGGAGTATATGAAACGCAAATGACGCCATGCTTGAACACTGGAGAGTTTTTCCAGTACTACAGTGTCTGACGGGAAGTAGCTTGTTGATACACACATTTCGCGAGCTTGGGACGAATACAAATGTCCCATTGAGCAGCAAGAGAAACATCGGATTGACTCCGTGAGACCTGTGTACGGGATCTGGGAATGACTTTGTCCAATGCTTTGTAGAATTTCCCATCTCGATCTGTGCGCTGTTGCAGCTTCGACGATTTGGGGTTTGCTTTGAGCGTCGCTTTTGATCGAGTAGTTCAGAGTTGTTGTGCTTGGGACCGAGTTTGCCCCGAAAGGATGAAGCAGCTTTGGGACGAAAGAGCGAGACCGTCGTGCAGGCTCGTTGTACGTCCCTCATCACCCGAGGGTGAGTTTCTGGATGGTAGGCTGGATGCTTGAGTACCTGTGCGGAGAGAGTAAAAGCTTCATCGAAGCTTCATCGAAGAGCGTTGGATCGCGCTCGGCATCACGACAATTCGAGATGTAATCGCTCCAGCTCTCGCGCGTGCCGGGCCCTAGATCGCATCCAAGCCATGCTTCTTTGAAGACTATGAGCTGTCAGCACCCCTTACATCCTGCAAGGTGGAATTGCAATATGTTGGTCTCGGCTCTCCTTGTCGCGTCCACCAAGACAAACCTGGGGATCACGAGACTTGAACACCAACCAGTGATGACATACATACTGATAGGTATTCAAGCAGCCGGGACTAGAGAAGCATGGAGGTGAGAGCGGGCAGTCGCTACGATGGTACTGTCAAAGTTACTGCTGATAGCAAACGCCTCTCAGTCTCCCTGCCCATCAGGTTAATTCACTTAGTGGGAGAGCGAAGTCCAAGCGAGGCCTTCAGCTACAAACAAAAGGTTTTGCACAAGGTCTTCTTGGCCTTTTCTTGTCTGCCTGCTCCTCAAGCCATCCCTCGGTTATGAAAGCAGAACTCAATAGGCGATGCAACTTTCAAGCCTCCAAAATACAGCCACGAGTCTGATGGTTCTGCTTGAGATTGTGTTGTGTGCCTTTTGCACTTCGCAGGGCATTTTTGGTGGCTGATTTTGGCGACAAGTATCGACCACTACACCTGATGAATGTGCCAGGACGAGTGTATAGATCACCAAAGACTTACCAAGCTTCTGACACCTCTGCGGACCCTTGGTTTAAGCATGGGCTTAGCTGGAGGTTGCCAAGATGCTTCACCCTCCTTAAGCGAGGACTTCTCGAATCTCGACCTCTTGGCTCGGAGTTCCATAAACCACACTCCTCCGGATGAATTCGTCGGTCCGCTCAGCCGCACCTCCAACAATCATTGTACTCGGAACACGAAGAGGTCAGCCCTCAGGCGAAATTGCGAGGAGAGAAGGATTTTAATTTAGGATTCGGTGGGTGGAGATGGAATCGATCCCTGGATGACAAAGCCAATTCTCCGAGGTGATTGGCCGGATTCCAGTTTCTGGCGCCCTCCATATTCTAGATTCGGTATAGGTCAGGTCTGGAGGACGGACCTGTCTTGTTCCTCTAGCAATCCATCCTCGTACGAGGAGGTACGAATAGGCGGCCATGGTAGGGTCAGGCAGCTACGGCGGCCTCGTACATATTTGCTGTAGGAGCCAAAATTAGTAGTATTGTCTACATGGCACAGAAACACAAGCACATGTATCGTATTGTAGACAAATGGTCATGTGACACGAGACCCCTCGTGCAGAAGTGCAGAAGTGTGTCATGTGACATGTCAGGCACAATCCTGTGACTCAACGGAGGAACATGGTGAATTCTGCTAGGTCCTGGGGACCGTCTGACTATATACCTTCGAGTAATTTACAGGGCCCTACCGGCGCTAGTCCGAAGGCCTTCGGCCGAGGACTAGCGTGA